TGTTGTCTGTGTCTGTCGTCTGATGTGTCTCTCTGTATGTCTGTCGTCTGTGTCTCTCTGTCTGTTTGTATGTCTGTGTCTCTCTGTGTGTTGTCTGTCTGTGTCTATCTGTCTGTCTGTCTGTCTGGTCTCTCTGTCTAGCACGGTCTCGCACTGTCTCGTCTCGCCACTTGTGTCTCGCACTTGTCTCTGTCTCGCACTGTCTCGCACTGTCTCTGTCTCGCACTGTCTCGCACTGTCTCTGTCTCGCACTGTCTCGCACTGTCTCTGTCTCGCACTGTCTCGCACTGTCTCTGTCTCGCACTGTCTCGCACTGTCTCTGTCTCGCACTGTCTCGCACTGTCTCTGTCTCGCACTGTCCGTCTCTCTCTCTAGCTCTCTTTCTCTGTGTCTCTTTCTCTGTGTCTCTTTTCTGTGTCTCTTTTTCTGTGTCTGTCTCTCAATTCAATTTAAGGGCTTTATTGGCATGGGAAACGTGTGTTAACATTGCCAAAGCAAGTGAAGTAGATTGTAAACAAAAGTGAAATAAACAATAAATATTAACAGTAAACATTACACTCAGAAGTTTCAAAAGAATAAAGACATTTCAGAAGTCATATTATGTATATATACAGTGTTTTAACAATGTGCAAATAGTTAAAGTACAAATGGGAAAATAAATAAACATAAATATGGGTTGTATTTACAATGGTGTTTGTTCTTCACTGGTTGCCCTTTTCTTGTGGCAACAGGTCACAAATCTTGCAGCTGTGATGGCACACTGTGGTTTTTCACCCAGTAGATAAGGGAGTTTGTCAAAATTGGGTTTGTTTTCGAATTCTTTGTGGATCACTGTAATCTGAGGGAAATATGTGTCTCTAATATGGTCATACATTTGGCAGGAGGTTAGGAAGTGCAGCTCAGTTTCCACCTCATTTTGTGGGCAGTGTGCACATAGCCTGTCTTCTCTTGAGAGCCAGGTCTGCCTACGGCGGCCTTTCTCAATAGCAAGGCTATGCTCACTGAGTCTGTACATAGTCAAAGCTTTCCTTAAGTTTGGGTCAGTCACAGTGGTCAGGTATTCTGCCACTGTGTACACTCTGTTTAGGGCTAAATAGCATTCTAGTTTGCTCTGTTTTTTTGTTTGTTCTTTCCAATGTGTCAAGTAATTCTCTTTTTGTTTTCTCATGATTTGGTTGGGTCTAATTGTGTTGTTGTTGTTGTTGTCCTGGGGCTGTGTGGGGTCTGTTTGTGTTTGTGAACAGAGCCCCAGGACAAGCTTACTTAGGGGACTCTTCTCCAAGTTCATCTCTCTGTAGGTTATGGCTTTGTTATGGAAGGTTTGGGAATCGCTTCCTTTTAAGTGGTTATAGAATTTAATGGCTCTTTTCTGGATTTTGATAATTAGTGGGTATTGGCCTAATTCTGCTCTGCATGCATTATTTGGTGTTTTACGTTGTACACGGAGGATGTTTTTGCAGAATTCTGCATGCAGAGTCTCAATTTGGTGTTTGTCCCATTTTGTGAGTTCTTGGTTGGTGAGCGGAACCCAGACCTCAGAACCATAAAGGGCAATGGGTTCTATAACTGATTCAAGTATTTTTAGCCAGATCCTAATTGGTATGTCAAATTTTATGTTCCTTTTGATGGCATAGAAGGCCCTTCTTTCCTTGTCTCTCAGATCGTTCACAGCTTTGTGGAAGTTACCTGTGGCGCTGATGTTTAGGCCAAGGTATGTATAGTTTTTTGTGTGCTCTAGGGCAACGGTGTCTAGATGGAATTTGTATTTGTGGTCCTGGCAACTGGACCTTTTTTGGAACACCATTATTTTTGTCTTACTGAGATTTACTGTCAGGGCCCAGGTCTGACAGAATATGTGCAGAAGATCTAGGTGCTGCTGTAGGCCCTTGTCAAGGCTGAGGTGTATGTGGTGTGGGAGTCAGGCGCAGGACACCGAAGCTTAGTCCAACAAAGTTTACTGGTGAAACTACGAGGCAAAGATACAGTAAACGGCCTCAAGAAAAACAGAGGCGAGCTATACGCAAACAATGCGTAAAACAATAAACAACGAAACAGATACAAAACACGCAGCACTACGGACAGGCGAAAAACAACACACAACCTAACCAATACAACACAGGCAACTTATAGAACACGTAATCAGACACAAACGGACACAGGTGTGACAGACAGACAAAAGCAAACACACATAGAAACATTCAACGGTGGCAGCTAGTACTCCGGGGACGACGAACGCCGAAGCCTGCCCGAACTAGGAGGAGGAGGAGCAGCCTCGGCAGAAACCGTGACAGCCCTCCTTGGTTGGTGACAGAAGCACCAGATCATCAGCAAACAGAAGACATTTGACTTCAGATTCTAGTAGGGTGAGGCCGGGTGCTGCAGACTGTTCTAGTGCCCTCGCCAATTCGTTGATATATATGTTGAAGAGGGTGGGGCTTAAACTGCATCCCTGTCTCACCCCACGGCCCTGTGGAAAGAAATGTGTGTGTTTTTTGCCAATTTTAACCGCACACTTGTTGTTTGTGTACATGGATTTTATAATGTCGTATGTCGTATCTCTCTCTCTCTGTCTGTCTGTCTCTCTCTCTCTCTCTCTCTCTCTCTAGCTCTCTCTCTGTCTCTCTCTCTCTCTCTCTCTGTCTCTGTCTCTGTCTCTCTCTCTCTGTCTCTTTCTCTCTCTATCTCTCTCTCTAGCTCTCTCTAGCTCTCTCTCTGTCTCTCTCTAGCTTTCTCTCTCTCTGTCTGTCTCGCTCTCTCTCTCTCTCTCTCTCTCTCTCTGTGTGTCTCTCTCTCTGTGTCTCTCTCTCTCTGTGTCTCTCTCTCTCTGTGTCTCTCTCTCTCTGTGTCTCTCTCTCTCTATGTCTCTCTATCTTCCTCCCTCCCTCTCGCTCTCTCCTGACCTATGGACAGGGTTCTGTTCCAGAGACTTGAGAAACACTCCGGAGTCCAATTCCCCTCTCCCTGAGTGTCTCCCTCACACTTCCAGGAAAACCCCACGCGCGTGTGTGTGTGTGTGTACAACTCTGCTATCATAAACAATCTTCCTAAGTGCTCCGAACAAATCACCTTAAAAATACAAACTAAATTGATTTGACTTCATTTCAAATGCCTTTTATACTGGACAAACATTTCAATGTCCATTCTTGAAGTAAATGCATTCATCCATTCAATTACAATAACAATTCCAATAGTGTAAAAGTGAACACAGGGTCAGTGAAAATATATATCCCCCGCCAACATGTGTGGAAGTAGGCAAAAGGCAAGGGCCTAATCCACTGAAGAGGATGAGACAGTCCTATGTAACAAAAGACCACTAAGCTGTCTAATAAGTGCATTAGACAGAGGGGGCAGAGAGGAGAGCCAGGAGGGGCTGTGTTGTGTTTACATGTACATTAGAGAGAACGTTGCATAATTCTCAGGGGCTCTCAGTCTCCACTAGACATGTTTTGGTACTGCATTTTTGGTACTGCGTTTTGTTGGTAGTGAGACCTCTTGACAGCAGTCCATCATAGAGCTGGAGTATCTGGCCCAGGGTGAAGTCAAGTGTCCCGCTACCCCTAATTTTCCTCTAGTTCCTAGAAAAAAAACATGTTGTGTCTTGATTTAGCAGCTTGGACACCAACCCCTCAGCCTTGCCTGGCATCAACAGGCTAAAGCTTCCTGATGGGATGGGGCTGACGGGGACCAGGATTGTGTATTACCACACCTAACCCCCTTAAGCGCTGGCGACACATTGCGCTTGACATTTACATGTATTTATGGACAGTCAACATGTTCCCAGTATCCAGTGCTAAAATGTGTTGTCCTGTCTGCCTTTATTCTGTTTACATCCAACTAACGTGGTAGATATTTCTTCGCATGGCAGATCTTTCTTTGCAATGTAGGGTGTACATATAGAATAGATGAGAGTAATCCTGTCTAGAGAGAAGACTACCATTTAAAATGTACTGAAGTCCATCATGCAATTATGTTATCACACGTGATTATTTGTTATGTACTCACTCAGCTAACGTAGGGGTCTGTGAGTATAGGCTACTGAAACAACATTATATTCAACAACCTATTCCTTCACCAGTCCAACACAGCCTATTTACTGGGAGAAAGAACGGCCAGTGGGAGACTTTTACTGCCATGTTATTCCCTAATCTAGTACTCCCTGAAGATACCATTAGCTGGTTAACTAATCAGGATATATCTGTACAGACTGGCCGCTGTGGAGTGTAGCCTGCCTCATACTCTTCCTTTGGACTAAATCATGTTTACATATCTTGCATTACTCATCTCATATGTATATACCATATCCTATACTATTCTACTGTATCTTAGGTTATGTCGCTCTGAAGTTGCTCGTCCATATATTTATTTATATATTCTTAATTCCATTGCTTTACTTAGATTTGTGTGCATTGGGTATATGTTGTGAAATTGTTAGATATTACTTGTTAGATATTACTGCACTGTCGGAGCTAGAAACACAAGCATTTCACTACACCCGCAATAACATCTGCTAAACACGTGTATGTGACCAATAAAATGTGATTTGATTTGATTTGACTGTGCAGTTGGTGTGTCTCTGAGCAGTCAGGGAGCACTTTAAAAGGCACTAATGACCCCATGACCATATCTGCTAGATTACATTTATTTTATGGAGCACAAACATTTTAGACACAAACACACATGTCATATTCTAATATAAAATGTTATACTAGAATTAAATCCATTTCTATGAATGTGAATGTGGCGTACACCATGACTGCATAAAAGTTACCCACAGTCTCCATTGCGTTTTAGCTATATGAGGATGAAAGGGAATTCATGTAATTGCAGTGTCTCTCTGTGAGTCCATGAACGGCAAAACCGTGGAGCTCAGCCTCCAAGAGTTGTCAGCCAATACGAAGCGCAGAGCAGACGAGCCTTCATAACCCAACCCCTAATTACTTATAACCTACACAGCGCCAATCATGTGACGGTAGTGTACTTCTACTACTACTACTACTACAGTAGATCGTAGCACAAGCCCTACCGATCGGCATTGCGATGAGAAGCTCGTTTCAAGGGCTTATCCACAACGCTATTGACATCATCTCACCAACCGAGAATTTATCACTTACTACAGGTGAAAGGACTAACATTCTCTCGATACATAAAGGTTAGTGCATAAATGATACCATGAATAGTGTTTTACATAGGAAGCGATGGCAGAAAGGCATTGGTGCGTGCCCCCCGTTGCGCGCTCCCTCTGTCAGCACACTGCTCAACAACATGTTTACGTCGATGGGACGCATGGTGCGACATGCTTTCTGCCTATAGCACACACAGTTGGAGGAAAACTGCTACAATGAATAGGCTTTTGCTGATTACGTTGATATATGCTAATATTATGTATAATATAGGCACATATTTACACAGTCGATATGCACATCAAAGGGACACTGTTTTGGATATATTTTAGATACATAGGTTATTGGATTAAACTATAAAAACCATGTTCACAGAGAGGGAACGAGAGAGACCGCTACATGTTATCAATGTGTTTACAATGTAAATCTCTTTGAAATTGTCTACACCTTAATTGTCGATTTGTTAAGATTTATCTGCTACGTATTTTTAAATATTTTTGTTTTATCCAAAAACTGTGTGGTATGACAGTAGTTTATTGCTCCCAGCCCGATCCATTCAAACTGTTTGTAGCCTAGTGAGTCAACGCTGTCAACGCTTTTTCATGTTCAGGTTATTCTCGGTCAAATCGCTGAAACCGGACCGGAAGGGGGAGCTCAACTAGTTTATGCATTCAAACGTCCACATTTTACAATGTATTACGCGTACGTTTTTATAATGATCAAAACCAATGACAGAGAATAATTGGCAACAAAATCTCTTCAATTTTACAGACTATTTTCCCCTCAATTTTACCAAGCAAAATCCCAAGCGGATATTACTTGGAAGATAAAATGCACCATGTGAATCCTTACTTATCATGTCCATTAATCTTATTGAAGGAATGGTGGTAAAATAAATTGTCCATCACATGATAATAAAATGCACTGAAATATGTGATTAAGCCTATTCTTTGAATCCGACCGGTTAGGTCGACAGCAGCTGTTGCCTGCCCTGTAGCCCATAGGACGTAGTCTTACTTTTACAGTAGTATTGCAATGATAAATATCTAGAAGAAAAACTTTGACAATTGCAGTCGGTCATCTATTTTCGACCTTGGTTTATGACCGTATATGAACGTGAACGTGAAGTGCAAACGGACTCTTGAAATTCCTCCTCCTTCACACGTGATGCCCCAGAGCTACTATAACTTTTAAAGTGAAATAAAATAGTGAATAGCATAAATAGGCTAGGCTACTTCTTTATCCAAAACGGTGATAAGAGTAGGTAGTTCCAATAGATTCGTGCTAACCATGAGTTACATATTGACAGTTCTTCTCCTTCTCCAGAAGTTCAGTGCTGCATGCATGCCCAAGCTGAAGGTTTCAAGTAACTATTTAAACCCCTGCAGGCAAAGCTGGTATTTACTGTTTAAACCCCCAGGCAGGCTCACGCTGTGGTGTTTTTATTTTGTTTTATCCTCTTGAGTCAAGTTATTTTGAGTTATTTCTTATCTTATAGTGGAGGATAACATGATCTCTCTCTCTCTCTCTCTCTCTCTCTCATGCTCTCTCTCTTCTCTCTCTCTCTCTCTCTCTCTCTCTCTCTCTCTCTCTCTCTCAATTCAATTCAATTTCAATTTAAGGGATTTATTGGCATGGGAAAGGTATGTTAACATTGCCAAAGCAAGTGAAATAGATAGTAAACAAAAGTGAAATAAACAATAAATATTAACAGTAAACATTACACTCAGAAGTTCCAAAAGACTAAAGACATTTCAAATGTCATATTATGTCTATATACAGTGTTGTAACAATGTGCAATCTCTCTTTACCTCTCTCTCTCTCTCTCTCTCTTACTCTCTCTCTCTCCCTCTCTATCTCTCATTATTTTCTCTATTGCCATGCCATTTTGCACACATGATGGACATCTATTCCTGTTTTCTAGGGAGAAGAGGAGAAACTGAATCATACACTCATAACTAGTATAAACCAAGTGGAGCAAGCAGAGCTGTGACTGGCTCAGGTCAGGAATGGTGGATAACTTGCCGGTAGGAGAGGAGACCTTCCTGTATTACGGCAGCTTTCCGGCAGACCACCACGCATTGGACATGGTGATGGACACAGGCGTCTACCAGGCGCTGTCCTCCCCGTTCTCAGAGGACGACCTGAGTGACTCGTCCAGCCCTTGCTCCTGCTCCAGCCCTGAGTCCCAGGTGCTGGGTTCCAGCTACGGCAGCAGCAGCAGCAGCTCCAGCGGAGAGAGCCAGGATGGTCTCCTGGACTTGCTGCTCTCCCAGGCCTCCCTTGGACGTGGAGTTACCCCCTCTCTATCCCCCTCAGTACCACCCATCCTCCCCAGGGGTCTAGCATGGGAGTCGAAGAGGGACTGCCTGTCTCTACCAACCAAAGAGGAGTGCTTTGAGTTCCCTGTGTTCCCAGTGGACCTGGTGGATCATGTGGGGCTGCTGTTTCAGCCCACCCTGGAGGAGATAGAGGAGTTCCTGGAGGAGAATATGGAGGTGGTGACGTTGAAGAAGGAGGCTAGTGAGGGAGAGATGTTGGATGTAGACAGTCATGTGACAGGGTCAGAGCCTGGGCTAGAGCAGTCAGACCAAACAGTACCTGTTGCCAGTGCTACTGTCCCCACCACAGAGACCAAGCACACAGCAACATCCACAATAACAGATTCCAACGGTTGTAGTGTAATTAAACAGGAGGAACGTGCTGATACACCAGCCTCAGGGGAGGGGTCTGGTGTGACGCCTGTCATCTTGCAGATTCAACCAATCCAGATTAAGCAAGAGCCCAGCCCAGGTGTGATACCAACACCAGTACCACAGCAGACCACCCAGCCCTCCTCAGACATCAAAATCACCCAGCTCCTAGTCAACATCCAGGGCCAGACTTTTGCCCTGGTGCCCCAGCTGGTGTCTCCAGCCAATCTCAATGGCACATCTTCCAAATTTGTGCGCATCGCGCCCGTTCCCATAGCCGCCAAGCCCCTGGGTCTCGGGGAGGGGGGGCTTTCAGGTGGCCAGGCTGCAGGGATCCTGGTGGGAGCACAGAAGTTCCAGAAGAGCTCGGTAGCGGACCTTTTAAAAATGCATAAGTGCACTTTCCCTGGCTGTGCCAAGATGTACACCAAGAGCAGCCACCTGAAGGCCCACCTGAGGAGGCACACGGGGGAAAAGCCTTTCGCCTGCACCTGGCCTGGCTGTGGATGGAGGTGAGTGGGTTTAAGACACTTTGTAGGTTGTGTTAGAGTCAGACTTCACAGGTGGAGCTCATAGGTCTACTCAGTGTGTGATTATTCATGTGACTACATACACAGCAGTGACAGTCAGTGAGTGCAACAGGGGATGTTTAGCTGTGATGGTCCAACCATGTATGACAATTTAGCGATACCAGTCCGTATTTTAGTTGGAGAAGTAACCGAGTACACAACTATCTCTGTTGACTGTGGTTGGATTATTTGAGATGAATTGATTCCTTCCAGAGGTTAACAGGGTTATCATCTTCCTTCGCTGGCTGATTATCACAGAGATATATGAAGCCATTCAAAGCCAATTCCCACCAGCTGCTCTGCAAAACACAGAGATTAATTTTATGAGAAAATATAATTAATATTCCAAGTTGTACGTCAGCTCAATTGGAGATGATGGAGAACTAAAATGATTAGTGTCCCTCATAATGAATGCTCTCTTCTCTTGCTCTCTCATTGGCTCCATATCTCTGTGTTTTCTTCTATTGCAGAGTTTGAGATTAGATAAGGCCTTTGAAGTGTGGGCAGACTTTGCCCCCTCTAGCTGTCTCTCTGTTTGCTCTCCGTCTGCACTCAGTCACACTCTTGCAGAATCAAGTAAAAAGTTTTGGTAGCAGCACTGACTTTATGGTATAATGAATGACCTTACAGCATACTAATTAGATTATAATTCATGATTTATTAGTTGGCCAAAGGAGTTTGTTTCTCTGTTTCCATTCACTCAGCAAGCATAAAGCATACATTTGTCACATATTATTCATTCACCATCTCCCTGACCTCTCCACCCAATGCGGTTGCACATCTAAACATAAAAAGCTCACTGTGCCCGTGGGAACAGCTGGTGAGAAGGTCTCCAGTCCGATAAGATTGTCAGTGCTCAACAGTCCTGTGGTCTTATCACAGTGACCTGGGTTAGCCCCGACACAGGACTGTCCTGGGCCTGTTGTATCCCCCATCGCCATCCCACAGGGCACAGTGTGGCCTTCAGAGACTGCTCTCTGTCTGAGGGACCCTCGCTCCTCTTCCACCTCCTTTGCCTCCTCCACCTCCTCTTCCTCTCCTCTGCCTCCTCCACCTCCTCCTCTCCTCCACCTCCTCCTCTCCTCTGCCTCCTCCACCTCCTCCTCTCCTCTGCCTCCTCCACCTCCTCCTCTCCTCTGCCTCCTCCACCTCCTCCTCTCCTCTGCCTCCTCCACCTCCTCCTCTGCCTCCTCCACCTCCTCCTCTGCCTCCGTCCACCTCCTCCTCTCCTCTGCCTCCTCCACCTCCTCCCTCTGCCTCCTCCACCTCCTCCTCTCCTCATCCTCCTCCACCTCCTCCTCTCCTCTGCCTCCTCCACCTCCTCCTCTCCTCTGCCTCCTCCACCTCCTCCTCTCCTCTGCCTCCTCCACCTCCTCCTCTCCTCCACCTCCTCCTCTCGCCCTCCTCTGCCTCCTCCACCTCCTCCTCTCGCCCTCCTCTGCCTCCTCCACCTCCTCCTCCTCTCCTCTACCACCTCCACCTCCTCCTCCTCTACACCTCCTCCTCCTCTCCTCCACCTCCTCCTCCTCCACCTCCTCCTCTCCACCTCTGCCTCCTCCACCTCCTCCACCTCCACCTCCTCCACCTCCTCCTCTCCTCCTCTGCCTCCTCCACCTCTGCCTCCTCCACCTCCTCCTCCTCTACACCTCCTCCTCCTCTCCTCCTCCTCCGCCTTCTCCTCCTTGTCAGGAAATGGAAGTGAGCTTGGGAAATATGCACCTCCAGCCATCTGTCATTTGAATGCCTTGTGTTGTAACGAAATAAAGTGTTTTTGACATTCCTCTGATTCTCTTCATGCACATAAAAACCAAATGACACATTTACTGTACAGCTGGCATTCCTCTTGCATCTCCATTCTCCTCACACACATAATGCATACCCACATGTACACAATAAATACACAATGAATACACGCATGTACACAATACATACACAATGTATAGGTTTGAACCTATAGTTTATTGTGAAAACACCATGACGTTCTGAAATAAGGGTTTGTCTTGTTTTTGTACCTTGTATACTGTGTTTTTATTACCGTACAGTATATATAAAAATAAACCAAACAAGATATGATGATATTTCTTCGTACCCATTCTTCGAACTTCGAACTTTAAGTGCTTTATGATTGCTGCTTTCTGGATTCTGTAATAGTAGCTTCATGAAGGTCCCAAGAGCTGGATCGTTGTGTGGAATTGGAACCTCTTATGCAGTAACACTGTCCCTCCTTGTGGACTTGCATGAGTTACAGTAACACTGTCCCTCTCTCTGGACTTGCATGAGTTACAGTAACACTGTCCCTCTCTGTGGACTTACATGAGTTACAGTAACACTGTCCCGCTCTGTGGACTTACATGAGTTAAGTAACACTGTCCCTCCCTGTGGACTTACATGAGTTACAGTAACACTGTCCTTCCCTGTGGACTTACATGAGTTACAGTAACACTGTCCTTCCCTGTTGACTTACATGAGTTACAGTAACACTGTTCCTCCCTGTGGACTTACATGAGTTACAGTAACACTGTCCTTCCCTGTTGACTTACATGAGTTACAGTAACACTGTCCCTCCCTGTTGACTTACATGAGTTACAGTAACACTGTCCTTCCCTGTGGACTTGCATGAGTTACAGTATCAATCAATCAATTTTATTTTATATAGCCCTTCTTACATCAGCTAATATCTCGAAGTGCTGTACAGAAACCCAGCCTAAAACCCCAAACAGCTAGTAATGCAGGTGTAGAAGCACGGTGGCTAGGAAAAACTCCCTAGAAAGGCGAAACCTAGGAAGAAACCTAGAGAGGAACCAGGCTATGAGGGGTGGCCAGTCCTCTTCTGGCTGTGCCGGGTGGAGATTATAACAGAACCATGCCAAGATGTTCAAAAATGTTCATAAGTGACAAGCATGGTCAAATAATAATCAGGAATAAATCTCAGTTGGCTTTTCATAGCCGATCATTAAGAGTTGAAAACAGCAGGTCTGGGACAGGTAGGGGTTCCATAACCGCAGGCAGAACAGTTGAAACTGGAATAGCAGCAAGGCCAGGCGGACTGGGGACAGCAAGGAGTCACCACGGCCGGTAGTCCCGACGTATGGTCCTAGGGCTCAGGTCTCTCAGTTGGCTTTTCATAGCCGATCATTAAGAGTTGAAAACAGCAGGTCTGGGACAGGTAGGGGTTTCGTAGCCGCAGGCAGAACAGTTGAAACTGGAATAGCAGCAAGGCCAGGCGGACTGGGGACAGCAAGGTGTCATCATGCCCGGTAGTCCTGACGTATGGTCCTAGGGCTCAGGTTCTCAGAGAGAAAGAGAGAACGAGAGAATTAGAGAGAGCATACTTAAATTCACACAGGACACTGGATAAGACAGGAGAAGTACTCCAGGTATAACCAACCGACAGTAACACTGTCCTTCCCTGTTGACTTACATGAGTTACAGTAACACTGTCCTTCCCTGTTGACTTACATGAGTTGCAGTAACACTGTCCCTCCCTGTGGACTTACATGAGTTACAGTAACACTGTCCCTCCCTGTTGACTTACATGAGTTACAGTAACACTGTCCTTCCCTTTGGACTTACATGAGTTACAGTAACACTGTCCCTGCCTGTGGACTTACATGAGTTACAGTAACACTGTCCTTCCCTGTGGACGTACATGAGTTACAGTAACACTGTCCTTCCCTGTGGACTTACATGAGTTACAGTAACACTGTCTTTCCCTGTGGACTTACATGAGTTACAGTAACACTGTCCTTCCCTGTTCCCTCGAACAGAGCCAGAGTGTAGCCTAACTAAGCTGTTGAGGCTGTAGCCTGTTGTCTGGACCTATGCCAGTCTCTATGGGGGTGCCACAGGGTTCAATTCTTGGGCCGACTCTTTTCTCCGTGTATATCAATGATGTCGCTCTTGCTGCTGGTGACTCTCAGACCCACCTCTACGCAGACGACACCATTTTGTATACATCTGGCCCTTCATTGGACACTGTGTTAACAAATCTCCAAACGAGCTTCAATGCCATACAACACTCCTTCCGTAGCCTCCAACTGCTCTTAAACACTAGTAAAACGAAATGCACGCTCTTCAATCGAACGCTGCTGGCATCCGCCCACCCGACTAGAATCACTACTCTCGGCGGGTCTGACCTAGAGTATGTGGACAACTACAAATACCTAGGTGTCTGGTTAGACTGTAAACTCTCCTTCCAGACTCACATTAAGCATCTCCAATCCAAAGTTAAATCTAGAATCGGCTTCCTATTTCGCAACAAAGCCTCTTTCACTCATGCTGCCAAACATGCCCTCGTAAAACTGACTATCCTACCGATCCTTGACTTCGGCGATGTCATTTACAAAATAGCCTCCAACACTCTACTCAGCAAATTTGATGTAGTCTATCACAGAGCCATCCATTTTGTCACCAAAGCCCCATATACTACCCACCACTGTGACCTGTACGCTCTTGTTGGCTGGTCCTCACTACATATTCGTCGCCAAACCCACTGGCTCCAGGCCATCTATAAATCACTGCTAGGCAAATCCCCGCCTTATCTTAGCTCATTGGTCACCATAGCAACACCCACCTGTAGTATGCGCTCCAGCAGGTATATCTCACTGGTCATCCCCAAAGCCAACACCTCCTTTGGCCGCCATTCCTTCCAGTTATCTGCTGCCAATGACTGAACGAACTGCAAAAATCTCTGAAGCTGGAGACTCTTATCTCCCTCACTAACTTTAAGCATCAGTTGTCAGAGCACCTTACCGATCACTGCACCTGTACACAGCCCATCTGAAATTAGCCCACCCAACTACCTCATCCCCATATTGTTATTTATTTTGCTAATTTGCACCCCAGTATCTCTATTTGCACATCTATCATTCCAGTGTTAATACTAATTGTAATTATTTTGCACTATGGCCTATTTATTGCCTTACCTCCATAACTTGCTACCTTTGCACACACTGTATATATATTTTCTGTTGTACTTCTGACTTTATGTTTTGTTTTACCCCATATTTACACTAAAAAGTATTTAGTCAGCCACCGATTGTGCAAGTTCTCCCACTTAAAAATATGAGAGAGGCCTGTAATTTTCATCATAGGTACACGTCAACTATGACAGACAAAATGAGAATTTTTTTTCCAGAAAATCACATTGTAGGATTTTTAATGAATTTATTTGCAAATTTTGGTGGAAAATAAGTATTTGGTCAATAACAAACGTTTCTCAATACTTTGTTATATACCCTTTGTTGGCAATGACACAGGTCAAACGTTTTCTGTAAGTCTTCACAAGGTTTTCACACACTGTTGCTGGTATTTTGGCCCATTCCTCCATGCAGATCTCCTCTAGAGCAGTGATGTTTTGGGGCTGTCGCTGGGCAACACGGACTTTCAACTCCCTCCAAAGATTTTCTATGGGGTTGAGATCTGGAGACTGGCTAGGCCACTCCAGGACCTTGAAATGCTTCTTACGAAGCCACTCCTTCATTGCCCGGGCGGTGTGTTTGGGATCATTGTCATGCTGAAAGACCCAGCCACGTTTCATCTTCAATGCCCTTGCTGATGGAAGGAGGTTTTCACTCAAAATCTCACGATACATGGCCCCATTCATTATTTCCTTTACACGGATCAGTCGTCCTGGTCCCTTTGCAGAAAAACAGCCCCAAAGCATGATGTTTCCACCCCCATGCTTCACAGTAGGTATGGTGTTCTTTGGATGCAACTCAGCATTCTTTGTCCTCCAAACACGACAAGTTGAGTTTTTACCAAAAAGTTATATTTTGGTTTCATCTGACCATATGACATTCTCCCAATCCTCTTCTGGATCATCCAAATGCACTCTAGCAAACTTCAGACGGGCCTGGACATGTACTGGCTTAAGCAGGGGGACACGTCTGGCACTGCAGGATTTGAGTCCCTGGCGGCGTAGTGTGTTACTGATGGTAGGCTTTGTTACTTTGGTCCCAGCTCTCTGCAGGTCATTCACTAGGTCCCCCCGTGTGGTTCTGGGATTTTTGCTCACCGTTCTCGTGATCATTTTGACCCCACGGGGTGAGATCTTGCGTGGAGCCCCAGATCGAGGGAGATTATCAGTGGTCTTGTATGTCTTCCATTTCCTAATAATTGCTCCCACAGTTGATTTCTTCAAACCAAGCTGCTTACCTATTGCAGATTCAGTCTTCCCAGCCTGGTGCAGGTCTACAATTTTGTTTCTGGTGTCCTTTGACAGCTCTTTGGTCTTGGCCATAGTGGAGTTTGGAGTGTGACTGTTTGAGGTTGTGGACAGGTGTCTTTTATACTGATAACAAGTTCAAACAGGTGCCATTAATACAGGTAACGAGTGGAGGACAGAGGAGTCTCTTAAAGAAGAAGTTACAGGTGTGTGAGAGCCAGAAATCTTGCTTGTTTGTAGGTGACCAAATACTTATTTTCCACCATAATTTGCAAATAAATTCATTAAAAATCCTACAATGTGATTTTCTGGAAAAACAATTCTCATTTTGTCTGTCATAGTTGGCGTGTACCTATGATGAAAATTACAGGCCTCTCTCATCTTTTTAAGTGGGAGAACTTGCACAATTGGTGGCTGACTAAATACTTTTTTCCCCCACTGTAACTCTGTGTTGTTGTTTTTATCGCACTGCTTTGCTTTATCTTGGCCAGGTCGCAGTTGTAAATGAGAACTTGTTCTCAACTGGCTTACCTGGTTAAATAAATGTGGAAACATTTTTTACAAAAAAATGCTGAGGCATCAAGGCTCCCCTCCCCACACCTGGGCATCCCACCCTGCCCAACAAGGGCTCCACAAACGGCCTTACCCAGGCTCTCATAAGCTCAACCTCCATCACCTCCTAACCACTGCTTATAACACCGTTTCCTGTAACAGTCATCTAGCATAGCCTAACAGTTTCCTATAACAGTCATCTAGCATAGCCTAACAGTTTCCTATAACAGTCATCTAGCATAGCCTAACAGTTTCCTGTAACAGTCATCTAGCATAGCCTAAAGGTTTCATATAACAGTCATCTAGCATAGCCTAACAGTTTCCTGTAACAGTCATCTAGCATAGCCTAAAGGTTTCATATAACAGTCATCTAGCATAGCCTAACAGTTTCCTATAACAGTCATTTAGCATAGCCTAACAGTTTCCTATAACAGTCATCTAGCATAGCCTAAAGGTTTCATATAACAGTCATCTAGCATAGCCTAACAGTTTCCTGTAACAGTCATCTAACATAGCCTAACAGTTTCCTATAACAGTCATCTAGCATAGCCTAACAGTTTCCTATAACAGTCATCTAGCATAGCCTAAAGGTTTCATATAACAGTCATCTAGCATAGCCTAAAGGTTTCATATAACAGTCATCTAGCATAGCCTAACAGTTTCCTATAACAGTCATCTAGCATAGCCTAACAGTTTCCTGTAACAGTCATCTAACATAGCCTAACAGTTTCCTATAACAGTCATCTAGCATAGCCTAACAGTTTCCTGTAACAGTCATCTAACATAGCCTAAAGGTTTCATATAACAGTCATCTAACATAGCCTAACAGTTTCCTATAACAGTCATCTAGCATAGCCTAACAGTTTCCTATAACAGTCATCTAACATAGCCTAAAGGTTTCATATAACAGTCATCTAGCATAGCCTAAAGGTTTCATATAACAGTCATCTAACATAGCCTAACAGTTTCCTATAACAGTCATCTAGCATAGCCTAACAGTTTTATACAGGGAAATACTTAATATCAACTTCCAGGGAGAGATAGTAGTAGTGTGTCAGGATGTCAACCTAGCAGAGACAATTCATTTTCACCTTTGCGGTCCCTTCAGTTAAGCTTGTCCCACATGTATTGCTTATTGGCTTAGACAAGGATAGGTTGAGGCTGTTTCAGTCAGAGATTAACTGTAGCCATCATGTCTCAACATGAAGTGGTTATAGCACACTTTCAGCTTGGGGGTATAGCGAGTGCTGACACATCATGTATAGTACAGAACAGGGGCACAACTTTGGCTTTAGAAGTGGTGGGGATTATTTTATTTAAAACAAAATCATTATTTTTTTTTATCCAGTTGGATAAAAACTCCAAACAGCCAACCCGACTGCTCGGAGACGTCCGCATGGTCCTAAAGCACATCGTGGCCTCGTTTTGTATCACATTCCAATGATAAATGCAATTTCAGAATGTAGGGGGACATGTCGTAAAGACCAAAAATAGATATGTTTGACTTTACTGTGCACATGTGTTAAACCCAAATATGGGTAGAGATATAATATGGATAGAACTATTATATACTATTATAAGAGTGTTGTGTACTGGTGTAGTCAGACAGCGAGAGGGGGCCTTTAACCTCAAGGTGTTATGGGAAACCGTGGCTCTGATATAGGTTGTCTGATGTGCTATGGGTCTGTCTGTCTCAGGTTCTCGAGGTCAGACGAACTCTCCAGACACCGGCGCTCTCACTCTGGAGTGAAGCCTTACCAGTGTCCCGTCTGCGAGAAGAAGTTTGCCCGCAGCGATCACCTGTCCAAACATATCAAAGTACACCGCTTTCCAAGAAACAGCAGGACAGTGCGCTCCGCAAACTGAGCCCGTTGACCCCCCCCAGTCCTGCTAGACTGAGGCCATGCCACAGGACACATGGAGAGACAGAGAGATAATGTTTGTGAGAGAGAGAGTGAATGAATGTGGGAGATTGCTTATAGCAGAGGGGACAGTGTGACAGACATAATGAATGTGGGAGATTGCTTACAGCAGAGGGGACAGTGGGACAGACAGAATGAACGTTCAAACAACAGTTAAGGGAGAGAGTGTTCTAATGTTTTGTTTGTTTATGTGTGTGTGTATGTTTGTGCAAGAGTGTGTGTGTGACGCACATTGGTGGTACTGTGATAATTTATTGAGTAATGCAGAGACGCAAAAGAGAAAACATTTTGAACAAACAAGAACTGTTACTTAACATGACATCTTCACTGGTGTATGAAGGGCTTGATTCAATCCATCTTCCAGAAGTTCAGCAATATAGCGGGATTTACATTTAAAGGCAATGTTCCCACATTCTTGGAGACTGCATTCACGGTAAACGCTGCATATGCCGGCTCAATTGGAAATTAGCTTTAACTTTCAATGTCGCTATAGCGCTGAACTTCCTCAATACAGATTGAATCGAGCCCTAAGTTTCTTGTAAATAGCTTTTCTTTCTTTTTTTAGGGGTTTTCTCTCATAAAATATTTTAAGATACGATTTCAGAATCTAAAAAAAGGTTTTGTTTTGCAATGTATTTTTACACTTTGAGGTTTGAATGAATTGTTGTTGATGTACCTGCCTATCATTGACGCAACAACATTCCTTCTGCTAAATGATGAAATTATCTTCTCATCACCAAGGGAGTTTTACACTTTTACTATGTAGTTCTTCAAACCAAAAAATGACTATTAATACTCAAACGTTCATGTTGAACTACTGATCATTATCAGAATCATGCCATTATAAGCTACTGGCAACATGTGGAGGCTGTCTCCTAATTTCACTACAGGAGCAATATGATGACTCATGCCTGGTAAAAACTAAAGGCCTGTGGATCAGCTAACAGTGAATAGCCAACTGCAGTACAACGAGGTACAACAAATATATTTGATGTTTTATGGTGTGTTGTTTATATAGGAACCGACTGGCTTTCTGATCACTATTGAAGACATTTGAAGAACTTTTCCTTTTGTATATTTGTATACATTAGCTGGAGGAGCTGTTATTTTCATTTTATTTCATTTTATTTCATTTTATTTCATTTTATTTCATTTTGTGTTATGTCAGTGGCTCTTGAAGCCATTGTCATTCACGTGTCTGGCCTTGTAATAATCTGGCCTTTTTTGGGGCCAATATGTCAACTGAGTAGGCCTACATGGTATCTGTTTGAATATAATGATAACACTTAACTCGTTGGTGACTGTATAAAATCTTCATAGCACATAAGCATTGAATGCCTAGCCTGCCATGTCGTATACAGCAATCTGAGCATGTCAATCAGAACATACAGTGTGTGGATGTCAGTGACAGTCAATCAATGTACAGTTCCAAACAGTGCTGGTAGGAGCTACAGTGTGAAGGACTCAACCCATGCACTCAGTGTCAGTGGAATCAATGCTTTCAGTAAAATAGTTGAACTATGTTTTTAAGGATTCTCGAAAAACTACAGCTACAGTAGCCTGAGGTAAGTCTCCTCCATACCAACACACTAGTGTGCCTCGTGTCATCAGTGCATGGTGCTGAAACCCCTACAGTCTTTCAACAGTGACCTCCATTTGGAACAACCCCAAAGCCTTTTAGCAGATAGCGGTGCCAAGCCACCTGTGCTATTACATTTTGTGAACAAGATCTGGAATTGCATGGTGCTATATTCATTTAGTTACTTACTCTGGAACATATGAAAGTAAATGGTCTTAGACATCTTAGCTTCCATACACATGTTCCGCAGTCACCTTCCTGAACTACAGATGACATCACATACGGGACTCAAATACTGTGAGGATTAGGTATGTTTTTTATAATGGTTTCTTTTCCCTGTACAAAACTGCACTGTCTTTGATGGCCATGTCCATTCTGTGTTATCGATACCTGAACCTGAGAGGTCTAGAGAGGGCAGGACGCTTATACTGTAGCAATGCATTCCTTCAATCCAATTTGAAATGCTTTTAAAAACAGGTTATTTTAACCCATGAATGTATGTAAATACTGTAACTGCATCTAAAAGGAACATAAATATTATTCTAATTATTTCTGTGATTGTGTACATTTCTAGTGCATGTGTATATAATAACAATTCATTATATATTATTATAAATAGTATATACTATTATAAATATTATATATTTTTATTTGTTCTACATAAGATGCATTTACAAATTAAACAAACCCAAAAGACAGAGTGGTTATGGTTGGGGTGTTCTTTTCATTTCACATTTGGTCAATTTGAGCTTTGTTGTCCAAACAATCAGTGGCCATTCATACAAGATCCATTGTTGTCTCTGCATGACACCCTGCTCTCTTTCACGGTAACCTCCACCCTTTATCTTTAGCACTCATCACGTTATAACACTACCAACAGGGGACAAACAGTCAAACAACACAATATGCTCATATTACTCCATGGCCATGGGTCTCTCCAGTGGACCATTTGGTTTCTTAAACAAGCATATCTTTTTTAGAGTTTGTTTCATTTCCCTGCTCATGAGTTGGTTGGAAAAAAAAATGTTAAGCGAAACATGAAAAACGTTAATAAGTTGGAAAACCTGCAGAATGCGAGAGTAAGATGTGTACCATATGGCAAGCACTCATGGAGCACTCCATCGTCTTCTTCTCTCTCGTGATCTCTCTCTCCTTGTCTCTCTCTCTCCTTGTCTCTCTCTTTCCTTGTCTCTCTCTCCTTGTCTCTCTCTCTCTTTGTCTCTCTCTTTCTCCTTGTCTCTCTCTTTCCTTGTCTCTCTCTCTCCTTGTCTCTCTCCTTCTTTGTCTCTCTCTCTTCTTGTCTCTCTCCTTCTTTGTCTCTCTCCCTCCTTGTCTTTCTCTCTCCTTGTCTCTCTCTTTCTCCTTGTCTCTCTCACCTTGTCTCTCTCTCTCTCTCTCCTTGTCTCTCTCTCTCTCCTTGTCTCTCTCCCTCCTTGTCTCTCTCTCTCCTTGTCTCTCTCTCTCCTTGTCTCTCTCTCTCCTTGTCTCTCTCACTCCTTGTCTCTCTCTCTCTCTTTGTCTCTCTCTCCTTGTCTCTCTCCCTCCTTGTCTCTCTCCCTCCTTGTCTCTCTCCCTCCTTGTCTCTCTCCCTCCTTGTCTCTCTCTCTCCTTGTCTCTCTCCCTCCTTGTCTCTCTCTCTCCTTGTCTCTCTCTCTCTCTCTCTCTCTCTCTCTCCATGTCTCTCTCTCCATGTCTCTCTCTCTCTCCTTGTCTCTATGTGCATTTAACTACTTCTTTAAAGGGAGCCTGGATGGGTCTCACTGCTGGCACATTTGGCTGGATGGGTCTAACTGCTGGCAGCCATACATTTGCTGAGTCATACTGTATAAGCAGAGAGCGCAGACCTGACTACATTATGTTATATAGAACAAACCTGACTACATTATGTTATATAGAACAGACCTGACTACATTATGTTATATAGAACAGACCTGACTACATTATGTTATATAGAACAGACCTGACTACATTATGTTATATAGAACATACCTGACTACATTATGTTTTATAGAACAGACCTGACTACATGATGTTATATAGAACAAACCTGACTACATGATGTTATATAGAACAAACCTAACTACATTATGTTTTATAGAACAGACCTGACTACATGATGTTATATAGAACAAACCTGACTATATGGTGTTATATAGAACAGACCTGACTACATTATGTTTTATAGAACAGACCTGACTATATGATGTTATATAGAACAGACCTGACTACATGATGTTATATAGAACAGACCTAACTACATGATGATGTTATATAGAACAGCCCTGACTACATGGTGTTATATAGAACAGACCTGACTACATTATGTTTTATAGAACAGACCTGACTATATGATGTTATATAGAACAGACCTGACTACATTATGTTTTATAGAACAGACCTGACTACATGGTGTTATATAGAACAGACCTGACTACATGATGTTTTATAGAACAGACCTGACTACATTATGTTATATAGAACAGACCTAACTACATGATGATGTTATATAGAACAGACCTGACTACATGATGTTGTATAGAACAGACCTGACTATATGATGTTATATAGAACAGACCTGACTATATAACGTTATATTAAACAGACCTGACTACATGATGATGTTATATAGAACAGACCTGACTACATGATGTTGTTATAATAAAAATAAAAATAATTTATTCAACTTATGTAGCACTTTTCAAAGAATCTCAAAGTGCTTCAAAGCATGAAATAAATACAAGTAATTTAGAAAAACAATATCACCATATTCTGAGATGTTATGTACGTAGCTCACATTGATGTATCCCACTATTGTTTAGATGCTGTAGGACCTAATTCCAGACATCGGTTCAGGGCCATTCTGGTTCCAGGCCTGGTATCTTCAGCCCTTTTCCTGTGTTCAGGAGGACGTTTTTTTGTGCTGCTTGATGTTCAGACACCACTATGTTGAGGCACAGGAAACCTCTACATCAATGACAATGGCATGGCAATATACACAGCGGTTGTGTCGCTCATGTAATTTTGTATTTGGTTGTGTGTCAGATTCCTCATACCTATTCTGGAATGTACAGTGGGGAAAAAAAGTATTTAGTCAGCCACCAATTCTGCAAGTTCTCCCACTTAAAAAGATGAGAGAGGCCTGTAATTTTCATCATAGGTACACGTCAACTGTGACAGACAAATTGAGAAAGAAAAATCCAGAAAATCACATTGTAGGATTTTTTATGAATTTATTTGCAAATTATGGTGGAAAATAAGTATTTGGTCACCTACAAACAAGCAATATTTCTGGCTCTCACAGACCTGTAACTTCTTCTTTAAGAGGCTCCTCTGTCCTCCACTCGTTACCTGTATTAATGGCACCTGTTTGAACTTGTTATCAGTATAAAAGACACCTGTCCACAACCTCAAACAGTCACACTCCAAACTCCACTATGGCCAAGACCAAAGAGCTGTCAAAGGACACCAGAAACAAAATTGTAGACCTGCACCAGGCTGGGAAGACTGAATCTGCAATAGGTAAGCAGCTTGGTTTGAAGAAATCAACTGTGGGAGCAATTATTAGGAAATGGAAGACATACAAGACCACTGATAATCTCCCTCGATCTGGGCTCCACGCAAGATCTCACCCCTTTATGGTCTAAACTCCACTAGCCGTGTTTGGAGGAAGAAAAAGGATAAGTACAACCCCAAGAACACCATCCCAACCGTGAACCATGGAGGTGGAAACATCATTCTTTGGGGATGCTTTTCTGCAAAGGGGACAGGACGACTGCACCGTATTGAGGGGAGGATGGATGGGGCCATGTATCGCGAGATCTTGGCCAACAACCTCCTTCCCTCAGTAAGAGCATTGAAGATGGGTCG